ATTATTTTTTAATTAGTAAATATATTATTAAAATCAATATTTAAAATTTTTATCTAATTGTAAAAAATATTAAATAAATTAGCAGGCAAATTTGCCTGCTTTACAGATTAAGGAATAGCTAGTTTAGTATAGTTTATATTATTATTATAACATTATATGTTTTCTCTTAATAAATCAAAAGCAAGATCATCTAAGTTAAAAAAAAAACAAATTATAAACAATACTATAATAGAAAATATCAATATATAATCCTATATACAAAACTAATAAAATTCTGTTAGCAATATAAACTATCTTAACAACAAAAAAAAATAACTTACTATATAAATATTTTGTATTTTTTTTTATTAATATCTCAAAAATATCAATATAATCAGAATAATATATATTAGTATAACTTAATTTACAAAATTACAACTCTTAAAAATAAACAAAATTTACTAAAAATTAAATATAAAAATCTGAATAATTATTCAAATTCATTAACAGCAATATTTAAATCCTAGACTTATTGTATAGTAATCTAACAACCTAACTACTACACTAAAATCACCAAATCTAATATATTTAAAATTTAATTGTTCTTAATACATTTTTAATAAAATATTTTTAAACTTTAAACAAAAATATTTCAATAACTACTTAACCAAATTCAATGATTTTTTTTTTATTTTAATTTGAATATATGAAATTCAAATAAAAAAAATTCATCGATTTTTACTAGGCGGTTGTTGAGATATCTTTGCTCAAAGTTAGTAAACAAATTCAAAATATCTATTAAAATAAATATATTAAATTTTTTCTAAAACTTTGAACAAAGATATCTTAAAAACTATTCGACCAAATTCGATGAATTTTTTTTTTTGGTTTAATTCTACAAATATATAGAGTTCAAATAAAAAAAATTTAATTGATTTTGGTCAGGCGGTTGTTGAGATATCTTCGCTCAAAGTTAGTAAACAAAATTTAAAATATTAATTCGTGCCAAATTTTTTATAAAACTTTGAGCGAGAATATCTCAACAACCGCCTGACCAAACTCAATGAAAATTTTTTATTTGAATTCTATATATTTGTAGAATTAAACTATAAAAAAAATCATCGAATTTGGTCGAGTAGTTATTGAGATATCTTCGTTCAAAATTTTAGAAAAAAGTTGGCACACTTATTTTAATAGACGTTTTGAATTTGTTTACTAACTTTGAGCAAGATATCTCAATAACCGCCCGATAAAAATCGATGAATTTTTTTTATTTAGATTCCATATATACATAGAATTAAAACAAAAAAAAATTCATCGAATTTGGTCAAGTAGTTATTGAGATATCTTCGCTCAAAGTTCAAAAACATTTTACTAAAGGTGCATCAAGAACGTAATTAAAACTTTTGCGTCCGTAGAATTTCAAATTTTTACACGTGATTTCAATTAAAAAATGAAGTTTTAGATAGCAGATAGCATAAAATGTCATTTTCTTTCACTTGTCAATTAAAATGAAAAGAATAAAAGTTTGGGCGATTATTCTGTTGCTTTTTTATGTGACTTTTGCCTCAGCCGACGAACATTCGCATACGGTAATCAATATGATTCAAATAAAGCTGTTAAACTGCTTATGTATATTCGCTATGTTTATACGTGTTTATACTTTTAACTGCTGATTATAGTACGAAAGTGGAGAGGATGTGATAATATGGGTGAATACGGTCGGGCCTAAATCGAATCGACAAGAAACCTACGAATATTTTCAGCTTCCGTACTGTCTGGGAGACCATGTTTCTGGTACTTGTGCATTTGTTTTTCTAATTAAAAAGGTGGACATCATGACGTTCATAAGAGGGGTGTGCCAAACATTAATTGTGACTGACCGTATACGTGCAACAATTTTATAGAATATCATCATGAAACGTTAGGAGAAGCATTGCTAGGCATGTACCATTGATACAGAATTTCATAATAAAAAACCGAGCATAACCCATGCTGTATGATATATTAGGCATGGAATTGGTGAATTCTGGAATCGGTATAAGGTTTTTGAGTAAGTTTTTTTTTACATTTAATAGCTGATAGATATAATTAATATTAAGATGTGATGCTATCTATTATTGGTACGCATAAGCTACATATTTAATGGCAAAATTGATAGTAGATTAAATGTTCGTAGGAGAGAAATATTGCCGGAATTATTAAACTACAAATCAAGTTAGATAGTGCGTGTCTTTATATTATATTTTAAAATTTTTGGAAATTGCCTTTTTAACTTTTAAAAAAATGTTAAATGTTGTTTAGAAATAATATTTAATTTAAATAATCATTTCTATGGTTATATTAATGAAAAAAATATTCTCTTTATTTTCTAGTAAATGAGGAAAATGTCACTATTTGTGATAAGGGGTTAACGGCAAAGGATGTCAATCTTTTCCGTTATGCAGTTTCCAATAATTATTGGTATCAGCTATTTTTAGGTAAATAATATATTATGTAATGAAAAATTTTGTATCTAATAAAACTATACTTCGAATATCAATCAATTCTTTTCATTTTTGTGTTCTGAAATTTAGATGATTTGCCAGTTTGGGGTAAAAATTTTGTTAGTTATTTAGTAGAAAATAGTAGGATTTCTGATTTGATGCACTTCATTTGTTATTAGGATTTGTCGGAGAGTTTGACACAAACACTGGCGATGCTTTTTTATATACACATAGGGATTTTGTAATAAGCTATAATCATGACAAGGTACTTAATATGCTATGGTTTATATTAATAGCTTATTTTAATTATTTTATAGAAATAGTGGTCTATTTACATATCGTATTTTACCTATTAAAGCAATCTGAATTTAAAAGCAACCTCCAGATTTTCGAATCATTCATTCATATAAATATATAATAATTTTAACGAAAACTTATATTTTACTAATGCAAATATAAGCAATCACCCTCTTTTGATATACAAAAATCACAAATTTTTGGGTTGCTTTATTTGGTAATACAGTCAACTCTGGATATAATGAACCTTTTTATAACGGACACACTATATAACGAACTTTTTTCTTCAAATTTATTATAAACTCGGTATATAAAATATAGCAAATTACTATATAACGAACTTTTGAAATTTTTTACTATAAGACTCGTCAGTTCATTATATAGAGAGTTGACTGTATACGATATTTATATTCGCAAGACATACAAGATATCATTAACACTCGATTGGCTTTTAGATAATCCAAGTCAGACTAGAAAGTGGAAATCCGGTCAAATTATATTGGGAAACTCGAGATATACCGATACGATTTTCATTTTCAGTAAGATGGGAGGCTACTGATGACCCATTTGACTCAAGATTCGATAAACTATTAGATACGGAATTTTTTGAACACAAGGTAATTTATTTTATTATTAACAATAGAGAATTTAGGGTTAACACGAAAATATACGCATCTTTTATTATAGATTCATTGGTTTTCAATTTTCAATTCATTTATTATGGTCATGCTTTTGGCTGGTTTTGTCAGCGTCATATTATTGCGTATGCTGAAAAAAGATTACGCTAGATATGACAAGGAGGAGGCTCTCGGTGATTTGGTACAATTCAGAATTTTCTTCACTAAATTAATCGCGGATCTACTATTATTTTTATATATGCCTATTTATTTTATTGATTTATTTCAAGGACCATGATCTTGGTGATGAATATGGTTGGAAACAAGTCCATGGCGACGTTTTTCGCGCACCACGTTCATTATTATTGTTTTCAGCTCTAATCGGCACTGGTCACCAGTTGATGTGGCTAACTTTGATTCTTATTCTGTATATTATAATTGGAGATTTATACGCAGAGTGAATATTTACTATAATTTCAATTTAAATAAATACCATCCGAGATGATCTAAAATTGAGCAATTGAAATGAATTTCTATCATTATTAAATTGATTATTTACCTGTATTAGGCGTGCCACTATACTGACGGCATCGATACTCTTTTATACCCTGACGTCGGTCATTGCAGGGTATTCTAGTGCGAACACATATCAGACTTATGGAGGTATTGGTTTGGGAGTTTCTTTAAATTTTTTTTTTTCTTTAAAATGATGTAAACATAAATTGTTATATCCTTTAAAGGTCGTAATTGGATAAAAAACATTATTGTAACTGCTACTTTATGGCCGGGAACACTCAGCGTTGTGACAACTATGATTAATTTTGTTGCAGTCTATTACTCTAGTTCGCGAGCAATTCCGTTCACAGCTATGGTATGTTCATTTCTTAAACGACATTACAAATTTAATTTTTATTACGAGTTCGGATTAAATCAAATTTTTGCAGTTAGCGATGTTTGCAACCTGGCTGTTCCTTGCATTTCCGTTGACATTTATAGGAGCGATTCTTTGTCGTAATTGGGCAAGTCAGCCAAATTTTCCATGCCGTGTTAATCCTATTCCACGACCTATTCCTGAGAAAATTTGGTAGATGCAGTGGGAATTTTGATTTATTATTTACATTTATTTCATGTGAATTCAATTTCAATCTGTATTAAACTTTAGGTACGCTGAACCCCTAGTGATAGTTGCTCTTGGCGGTGTTCTTCCGTTTGCGTCGATTTTTATCGAAATTTATTTTATTTTTTCATCATTTTGGGCATACAAAATTTACTATGTTTATGGTTTCATGTTATTTGTTTTCATTATTCTTTTGATTGTGACTGCTTGTGTCACCATAGTAAGCACGTATATATTACTTAATAATGAGGATCATCGATGGTTCGTATTCAATTTTATGATTTTAGGAAAAACTTGGAAAATATTTACATATCCTATTTTTCTAAATTATAATAGGCATTGGATGAGTTTCTTGACTTGTGGCTCGACTGCTGTTTACGTTTATATTTATGCTATATATTATTTCATTAATCGAACAAAGTAAGAATTTTTTAAAATATACAAATTGCATAATAAGCGATTTATAAATTTATCCCTCCCTTTTTTTTTTTTTTTTTTTAGAATGTATGGCCTTTTCCAGACTTCCTTTTACTTTGGCAATACTGCGATAATTTGTACTGGTTTGTTTGTAATGTTAGGTATGTATATTTAGCTTGAATCGTAAAATCTCTAAATAGTGGACATCAGCATTACTCTGAACTATGGCCCAAATTAAGCTTAATTTGTGTCAACATTTGAAATTACATCCTGAGCTTTATTTAGAGATTTTACGGTATATCTGTGTTGCAAGTCTATTGTCAAAATCTTCTTTTTTTATGCTCAACATATATTCCTAATTTTTTTTTTTGTGATCGTTGATAAATAATTTACTAA